CCTTTTTTTTTTTTTTTTTTTTTTGCTTCTAGCTGCACTGTGATTTTCTTTTTTAATTAAGAAATCTAGCAGAAATAAAAAGTAAATGTTTTTATATTCTATTAGGCAGATCAGCAGTTGGTTAAGAAAGGAAAAAGCAAAGTTGGGGACATGTTGGAAAAAGCTGCTGAGTTGTTGATGAGCTGTTTCCGAGTCTGTGCCAGTGACACGTGAGTAAGGTTTTGGAGACATATTATCAGTCTCCTGTCATAAAGCATTGCCCCTTCCCTGCCCTTTGTCTGTTGTTGACATTGACTTCTACATATGTGTAACCCCACAGTCATTTTATTTTTTGCTTTTAACAGTAAATTGTGTAGTAAAGAAATAAGAGAAAAATAGACTTTTATGCTTACTCACGTATCTGCCATTTGAGCTCTTTAATATTTCCTATACAGTAGATCTGAGTTTCTATCTGGTATCATTTCTCTTTTCTCTGAGACTTTTAGTGTTGGTCTGCTGACAATGAATTCGCAGCTTTTTTTCTGAAATTCTTTATTCTGTCTTCATTTTTGAAGGATTCTTTTGCAAGGTGGAATGTTCTAGATTGGACTTTTTTCTTTTAAGACTTTAAAATGTCATTTCATCAGCTTTTCTATGTTTCTGATGAAAAGTCAGTTGTCAGTTCTTATTGTTGTTTGTTGGTATGTAATGACTCTTTCCTTTGCCTTTTTTTCTCTTCACTTTTGGCTTTCAGTAGTTTGACCCTCATGTACCTCATGGTTGTTGTTGTTTTTTAACCCTCACCCAAGGATATGTTTTTATTGATTTTTAGAGAGAGAGGGTTAGAGGTTGAGAGAGAATCATCAATCAGTTGCCTCCCGTTCACATCCCAATTGAGGATTGAACCCACAGCCTTTTGGTATATGGGACTACGCTCCAATCAGCTGAGCCACCTGGCCCGGGCACCCTATGTATTTTCCTGTTTTTCTTGTTTATGGTTCCTTGGGCTTCTTGGATCTTAAGTTGATGTTTCTTAATAGATTTTCCTAAATTTAATTTTTTATATTCCTCAACTGCTTTTTCTTTCATTCTTTCTCTCTTCTTTCTGGGGCTCCAGTTACATGTACATTATACTACATGATATTATTCCACAGGGCACTGATACACTGTTTGTTTTCTAATCTTTCCTCTCCCTCTCTTTCATTTTGGGTAATTTATGTTGACCTGGCCTCAAGTTGACTGTTCTTATTAGTATTTATTTATTTATTTTAAAATATCTTTTTATTGATCTCAGAGAGGAAGGGAGAGGGAGAGAGAGATAGAAACATCAATGATGAACGAAAATCATTGATTGGCTGATTCTAGCACACCCCCTCCTGGGGATTGAGCCTACAACACGGGCATGTGCCCTTGACCAGAATTGAACCCAGGACCCTTCAGTCCTCAGGCCAACACTCTAGCCATTGAGCCAAACCAGCTAGGACCACTATTTAATTTTTGCTTCTAGACTTTCCATCTGATTCTACTTTAGAGTTTCCATTTTTCTCCTGAAACTCCATCTCTTCACCCATCATAAAGCTATGTTTATTTGAGAGTTTTAGGATATTTTAAAGCAAAGAAAAGAAAAGCTTTCCATGTGTAAATAAACAAACAAAATCTCTAGTCCCCAGAAAAGTGTTTCAGCTTCTCATTTCTCACCACTCTGTCCCCACCAGCCCCACCTCAAACCATTGCACCCAAGCTGGACTAAAGCAGCTCCTCCCAATGCTTCCCCACCGAGGCTTTCCACACTGCCATCCCTTTGCCTGGCCTGTCTTCCCAGCTTTTCATCTGGTGGTCTGCTTATTTCACAGTTTTCCGCCTCCCATAAACTTTCATGACAGCCTGTACTTTGTGTTCACTACACTCACCAAAAGTAATTATTTTGGTGATGCTTGGATGATGTTTGTTCGATCTCAAAGTCTGTGAGGGCATGTATGCGGCTTTCACATGGTGTCTCTCACACCAAGGTAGCCCTCAGGAAACATTGATTACATAAATACTTGAACTTCTGTTTGATTATGTGTTCCTGCACAGCAGTGATCTTCATGACCTTGGTTTGGCAATGGTTTTCTTAGCTGTGAAACCAAAAGCACAGGCACCCAAAGGAAAAATAGATGAATTGGACTTCATCAAAATAAAAAAACTTCTGTGCTTCAAAGGACACTACGAAAAAATGAAAAACAACCATAAAATGCTTTATAACGATTAGCTTTTACATACTATTACTGCAAACTAGGCAGTTTTCAGGTGCTGCAGCAGAGGGAGTGTATTACCTAATAATTATCTGGGGTTAGAATTCCTGGTTTGGACTCTTCAATTTTACCTATTAGATAAGACATCTTCTTTCAAAATGTTGTTTTATTTCATATATGACTTAAGCTGTAAGATTTTATCTCAACATATCAATTTGTTTAGACAGTTTATTTTGTAATTTATAAATATAATTCTTATTTCCTATGTAACTGGATAAAAAATTTTTTCCCATAGTCGTGCTGGTATAGAGGATTCTAAGAAGTGGGGAATGCTATTTCTGGTGAATCAGTTATTCAAGATTTACTTTAAGGTATGCTTCTGTTTGAATAGTGTGTAAATTTCTTTCTCCTGTCTTCCCCGATACCATTTCTATTACTTATCACCTAGCTCCCCTGGCATTGCTTGGGAAATGGTCATCACCTAGCCATATTTGTAATTCTAAGAGTTAACATTTGTTGAGTGCCTGCTAAGTGCAAGGCACTATTGTAAGAAGTGTCGCCTTGTTTCAAAAACCTGGGACTTTGTTTCAAAAACCTGGGCCATATGAGGTAAGCCTTTAGCTCCAGGGGAAACTGAGGTGCCTGCGTATTGAGCAGTGTGCTGGTGTGCTGAACTGGGCTTTCAGTGAGGAGTTTCACTCCAGAGCCTTCTGCCAGAACATAGGGGCCTGTGAATGGGTGAAGAAATCATTCTTTGCTACATGAGTTGGCCAGGTGAAGAGCGGCTATGTCACACACCAGCGGCTGGCCCTGGCCCCTGTGGGGGGCCTTCATTCGGAGGGAACATCTGCCCTGGAAGCACTTCTGCCTGATGCTCTTCTTAGCGCTTTCTCAAGTGGATATAATCTGTGCCATATGGCCTCTGTTTCTATTTTAGTATTATATGATCAATTTTGATGATGGTAATGGGTTTTGTAATTCCCAGTTTAAGGTTGCATATGCTTAGTAAAGTAGAAGTTTAAGTTGGTCCTGACTGTTTTTTTTTTAAATAACATGTTTAGTGGATTGTAATTTGTTATAGATCAACAAACTCCATTTGTGTAAACCTCTCATCAGAGCCATCGACAGCTCAAATCTGAAAGAAGATTATAGCACAGCACAGAGAGTAACATACAGGTACTATGTTGGACGAAAGGCCATGTTTGATAGTGACTTTAAACAAGGTATGTTGTTAATCATTTTTTCCAGTATTTTAAAGCCATTGCATTCTGAACAACTCTGTGATGTAGTTTTAGAGATCACAATTATTACAATTTATTATTACTTAAAGTGGAATATAGGTGTAAACCAAGTTCAGGTTATTTTTTGTTTGTTTATTTTTGACACTAAAGTTGGTTAAATAAAAGGAAAATTGTATTTGAAGTTTCTTAATCCATGCTGGGTCTCTGAAATACATGCAGACTCTCAGTTATTCTGGACATCTTTTTTCCGTGAGGAAGTAAGCAGCAGTATTCTTGGCATTTGATAAGAGTAATTGTTTTCTCCCTTTGCCTGTGCTGATCATGCTGGCACAGGACGTGGAGACTGCGGCAGCAGGTAGCTCAGCTGCTAGCTTGCTGCTTAGAAATCCCCCATGGAATGCCCAGGCGAGCAGTGGGAATGTGTCCTTGTTCTGGTGTTGTCTTTGGTGTTTGTGGCGATAGGCGATGGTGTCATTACCACATCAGAATGGCACTTTCGTGAAATTACATTATTGTGCAATTTATATCATTAACTTTCTCAAGAACATGATGCCAGTTTTTTTCTTTTTAGACTTTTTGATTAACTGGCATGAGGTGGTTCTTTATAACTTCTTTTATTGTACTCAGACCAGACTTTTGAATTCACCTCTTCAACAGCTATTTGCATACAAAACAACATAACTTCAGGCAATATAAGATAGATCACTTTTCTCTCCCCATGTCTTATAGCCATGGATTCTCTGATAACAAAAATAACAGCTCTTTCATCTTATTTTTTATTCTATAGGCATATACAGACCCAATTTCAAATTTTCTTTCACAAAAAAAATTTCATAGATGTAGGACTTTGGAAAATGGACTTTCCTTGGTTATTCTTCATCACTGCTTTTTTTTTCTTAAGTTATGAAGCATAAGAAGAAAAACTTTTAAATTATATTGAAGTCTATTAAGGCATTGATAGGTTTTTGCTCTGAAGGTTCGAGTGTTTTTAATGCCCAACAACAAGAAATGAATTATCAGTATTAATGGTAGACGTTTATAGTTTCTGAAAACTTTAGAACCTTTGTATAAGGATAAATGGCAGGATAAAGAGCATAGAGGGAGCTTCAGTAGCTGTATATTTTAAAAGATGCTCTTGTCTGACTTTTGCCGATATCTCTGCAGCCGAGGAGTACCTGTCCTTTGCCATTGAACACTGTCACCGTTTAAGTCAGAAGAACAAAAGGATGATTTTGATATATTTACTCCCAGTAAAGATGCTATTGGTGAGTTATTCAGTTCTTAAAGACCCCTTTGCTTTCAAGAAACTTATAGACTTTGTAGAAGCTTATAGATGGTTTGTAGTTGATCACAACCTGAGCTGCATATGAGCTCACCCCAGAATAGAGGAAGAATAGCTTTGTGTGTAGCCTGAACCATGTATCTTCATGATTGACACTTCCAGATCCTTCTTTAAAGGCTTTGTTTGTATTTCCTTCCTATTTAAAGTATCTAATTAAGAAATTTAACGTAATGTAGGACAAATAAAATAAATTCATATTATTTCTACTCCCCATAAAAATAGAAATGGATTAGCCAAGAACGGAAAATGTCATTCCAGCCTATTTGTAGGTGTCTTATTTGGTCACCAAAAATTATTTTTGGTACTTAACAAGAAGTGAAAAATAACTAATATGTTAATTGGCTAAAACATTCTCAAAGTGATAGATAGACGTCTCTATCCTCCCATTTAACATTTTTTAAAAGTTTATCAAAGCAGTGGACACATTTGGTTAAAATTATTTTAGTTCATGATAGCTTGTATTGGCAAAGGTACAATGTTGTACATACCCTTTCTACTTCTAACTATCCTTCACAGAAACAAAGAAGATAATTTTTTTAAGCTTTATTCTTCTAAAGGTTGTTTCTGTATTTCTAAATCTGAATTTAGAAATTTCTTCAGTTATCACTTCCCTCCTATGATATTAAGGACAAGAGACATGGGAAGGTCAAGATCAAGGTCATATGTAACTGAATGACACAACTGTATTATACCAAGGTTTTCTGATTTCTAGACCAGTTTCTTCCATTAGCATACTATGATGTTTTCAAACCTTGTTCAGCTACTTAAGAAGAAATTCTAAGAAATACAAGTTTGCAAGTTTTTAAAACTTAGTTCCTTGATAAGGATTTTATCAAAAATAATTCTGTTTAAAAAAATACAAAGCAAACAACCAAAAAAAACAAAAAACAAACACCCAAAAAAACAAATTCTGTTAAAAAAGAAAGGGCTCTTATTCTGGAAAATTGACTCTTTGTTTTAGGGTCATATGCCAACCATTGAGCTTTTGAAAAAGTATCATCTCATGCAGTTTGCTGAAGTAACCAGAGCTGTAAGGTAGAGTATTTTATTCTTTTCTATTTGGGATTTTTTAAAATATAAAATTAATAAAATTTCACATACCAATTAAGTGTTGAACCAATTGCTTTTGTTGTGATCTCATCCTGGGATTTTGTTTTGTGACCATGTTTGTTCATCTTTCCCCTTCACCCAGTGAAGGCAATCTCCTTCTATTGAACGAGGCTCTAGCGAAGCATGAGACCTTCTTTATTCGCTGTGGCATCTTCCTTATCCTTGAAAAGCTGAAGATCATCACCTACAGGAATCTTTTTAAGAAAGTGTAAGCAGAGTATTTTTGTAATAAGTTGAAACTCTTTGTATGACTCATGTAGAGTTGTCAGGTTATGAAAACTTAAAGTAACAGGTGCTGTGTCTTCTGAGATGGAGATGTCAGTCTGTGTGGACGAGGTCCCATCACTTTTCCTTTAATTGTGTGGAATAAAGTGAAAATTCCCCGGCCCGCCCACTGCCTCCAGGCATTGGTGCCACACAGTGTGTGAGCAAAGGCTCACTTGTGGGAGGGATAACTCGGGGTATGCATGATAAGAGAACTTAGCAATAGATATTTTAAAACACCAGCCCTAAGAATAAAATATTCCACATTTTATCAGAGCGTGTGGGACAGAGTTGTTCATTTTCTTTATTCATAATTAAACCTCTCCCTGCCACTCCTGTCTGTCAGAAAGTTGAATTCTTCTGCAGTTGTTTGTTTTTATCCATGTAACACTGGAAGTTGACTTCTTCAAGGCCTGGTCCTAACAGGATCTCAGTTAAGAAACTTCAAACAAAGGCAGACTTTTTATAGCTGTAAAGAGTATATAAAAAAATGGCAAGGACCATATTTCATCGAATCCATTTTAAGATTTCAGAGATGGCACAGTGTGAAAATACCTTCATCTTAGATTCCTTGAAATATTCAGTAAATATAAAAAATTATACTTGTACTAGTGGCTTTTTCAAATTGAGAAGACAAAATTACCCTATATAATAAAATATAAAAATTACCCGAACGGTGGAACAACCAGTTGCTATGAGGTGCACTGACCACCAGGGGGCATATGCTCAACGCAGGAGCTGCCCCCTGGTGGTCAGTGTACTCCCACAGTGGGAGTAGTGCCGCTCAGCCAGAAGCCGGGCTCAGGGCTGAAGAGCACAGCAGAAGTGTCAGGAGCCTTTCCCACCTCCGCGGCAGCACTAAGGATGTCCGACTGCCAGCTTAGGCCCTCTCCTGGCATCAGTCTGACATTCCCCAAGGGCTCCCAGACTGTAAGAGGGCACAGGCTGGGCTGAGGGACACACCCTCCCCCCCATCCCCACCCCCGCCAAGTGCACGAATGTCGTGCACCAGGCCTCTAGTATTTAATAACTCTTTTTAGAGTGTATTTAATAGGTGGAAGATTCCTTTCATTCCTAGTGGTATGTTTCGTAGAAGATGTGTTTTCTACTGACTTAGTGCTCTTTTTCTTAACTTTTGAAGTACTTGCATCCTGTTGGTAACTAGTGTGAATTTCTGTTTCCCTCTTCCAGGTATTTGTTACTCAAAACACACCAGTTATCTCTGGATGCTTTTCTAGTTGCTTTGAAATTCATGCAAGTGGAAGACGTGGACATTGATGAAGTCCAGTGTATTCTAGCCAACCTGATATACATGGTGCGTGAGCTTCTTGGTTCAGGTTAGGACTTGGTCTAGATCAGTGGTCGCCAACCTTCTGGACCTCTCAGAGCACCAATGGTCTGTGGACCACCAGTTGGCGACTGCTGCTCCAAAGGTTTCCTTAAACCAGCGGTTCCCAACCTTTCAGACCTCACGACCACCAGTGGTCCACAGACCACTGGTTGGCAACCGCTGGTCTAGAATGTGAAGCTTTGATGCACTGTCCTTAAAGTTGTTATCAGACCCTTTTCCTTTGTGAAGTATTTTCTGACAGAATTAATTGTATCCCAGGAAATACCATGATAATCAAAGGGCTTTATAGAGGGTTCGGGTGGGTGAATATAATATATATTTCTATATTCTCCATATATAACTTTATTCATTGTTCTCCCAATGACTTGAATTGCACTATGATTGGGGAAGAATGCTTATGTCAGAAGAATAAGTAATTAACTCTCTCAACATCAGTGATGTGACTCAGGAACATAAACTAACCCTCTGTTTTTCTCCTACAGGGTCACATCAAAGGCTATATATCACATCAGCATCAGAAGCTAGTTGTTAGCAAGCAAAATCCGTTTCCTCCGCTGTCTACAGTGTGTTGAATGTATAAACACCTGTTCCTCTGGTGTTTATCGTACTAATGAAATCAGTACTTTGCCAGGACATTACTTTCTTCAGCTGGAATCTCTTTGAGGCTCTTCTCTCAAGGATGTTGAGACTGAGTTCCCTGCATTCACAGCCACCTTGACATTCTCTCATCGCTCATTACTAATGTCGACCTCACGGAGACTTGGAATTTCTTTTTCAAATGTTGCAGACCCTCCTTTGACTCTGAGCGTTGGAGAAACTTCTGTGAAGGAGGCTCTTCTCCAAGGCAGCTAGAGTTTACTTCTTCTAAGAGTTATGCACAAGTGCAATTTTTTATATAATTTTTCTATATAAAAGGCATTCTGAATTTATACAAGTGACATAAGTCTTTATTATATCTTCTGGGAAACGAAATTTTGCTAAGATTTTGAAATTCACCCTTTCCCCCCCACTGTCCTTACCATTAGTCTGCGTTAAATTAGCATATTTATTTTTTCCAAGGTCCTTTCAGAGAAGTGGGCCAGTGTGCCTATAGATTGGCAAAAAAAATAGTTTAATTCTAGGGTTAAAGTATATCAGAAATGAAGGAGATACGTAGTGTGTTTAAGACGTGTAAGATTTAAAAATCTGAATTGTGTATACATTTCCTATATTTCACTCAAAATACAGTTTAAATGAACTCACATTTTATTTTTAATCCTTTAAAGTGTTACATGTCTCCTTTTTTCCCCAACTAACCCCCCGGCCACTCCCACCCTCGAGGGCAAGCCCCCACTGCCCCAGTGTCGGTGTCCCTTGGTCATGCTAATATGCATGCATACAAGTCCTTTGGTTGACTTCTAATCCCCCCTCCCCTGCCTTTCCCCCGAGGTTGGACAGTCTGCTCAGTGCCACCTTGTCTCTGGATCCATTTTTGTTCATCAGTTTATGTTGATTATTATACCCCACACTAGAGGCCTGGTGCACGAAATTCGTACCTGGGTAGGGTCTCCCTGGCCAGGGCCTTCCTTCCCTGGCTACCAGCTGCTGGCCAGGGCCTTCCTTCATTCCGCACCACCCTCTGGTGGTCAGTGCATGTCATAGCGAGCCATGGTATTCCTGGTCTCCCAGTCGAACTCCCAAGGGGACACTTTGTATATTAGCCATATATATATATGAGGCCCGGTGCACAAAATTTGTGCGGGCGGGGGCGGGGGGTGTCCCTCAGCCTGGCCTGCACCCTCTCCAATCTGGGACAACCCCTTGGGGGATGTCCGACTGCTGGTTTAGGCCTAATCCCAACTGGACATCCCTCACACAATCTGGGAATGTTGGCTCTTAACAGCTCGCCTGCCTGCATGATTGCCCCTAATCCCAGCGGTTCTCAACCTGTGGGTTGCGACCCCTTTGGCGGTCGAACGACCCTTTCACAGGGGTCACCTAAGACCATCCTGCATATCAGATATTTACATTACGATTCATAACAGTAGCAAGATTACAGTTATGAAGTAGCAATGAAAATAATTTTATGGTTGGGTCACAACATGAGGAACTGTATTTAAAGGGCCAGAAGGTTGAGAACCACTGCCCTAACCGCTTCTGCCTGCCAGCCTGATCTCCCCCTAACCACTCCCCTGCCGGCCTGATCGCCCCCAACTGCCCTCCCCTACAGGCTTGGTCGCCCCCAGCTGCCCTCCCCCGCAGGCCTGGTCGCACCCAACTGCCCTCCCCTGCTGGCCATCTTGTGAGGGCGTTGCACGATGGCGTGACACCTAGGTTATTATATAGAATATGAGTGAGATCATGTGATATTTATCTTTCTCCAACTTGCTTATTTTGCTTAGCATAATGTTCTCCAGTTCCATCCATGCTGTTGCACATGGTAAAAGTTCCTTCTTTTTTTATAGCAGCATAGTATTCCATTGTGTAGATGTACCACAGTTTTTAAATCCACTCATCTGCTGATAGGCACTTAGGCTGTTTCCAAATCTTAGCTATGATAAATTGTGCTGCTATGAACAAAGAGGTGCATATATACTTTTGATTGGTGTGTCTGGTTACTTGGGATATATTCCTAGAACCGGAATCACTGGGTCAAAAGGGAGTTCCACCTTTTTTTGGGGGGGTGGTGAGTTCCACTTTTAACTCTTTGTGGAAACTCCATACTGTTCTCCCAGTGGCTGACACTGGTATGCATTCCCACCAGCAGTGCATGAGGGTTCCTTTTTCTCCACATCTTTGTCAGCACTTGTTTGTTGATTTGTTGATGATAACCATGAAAGGTGTGAGATGGT